CCCAAGTTGGTTCACCTGGAGGTGAAAGCCTGTGCTGGTGCCAGACAGAGGGCAGCTTTCCTGCCTGCAGAGCACGTGGTTGTCACCGTGTTTTGAGCTCATGGGGAGCTCGAAGGCCACCAGGAGGATGGGGCCAGTAGAGGAGACAGCCAGAGCCAGCAGCTCTGCGAGCACAGTGCAAGCAGAGGGAGTGATGCATTTTTGGGATGCCTCAAGGCCATAAACACCATCACTCTCCTCGGGAGAGCAGCTAATTTATTTAACTTTTTAAAAACTGATTTACTGCTGATAACCCTGACAAGCTTTAAACCTTTGATGGTGGATGATGGTCAAATTCCCAGGAAAGAACAGAGCCTGGAAGAGATCATCCTGTCTTGCAAGGTCTAGCCTGGCTCCAAATGCATGCCAAGGCACAACACAACGCAGGAAATACTTTCTCGTGGGTGCTCGGGACAGGCGCTCCACTTGCCCTCCCGCTGGGGATGGCCGCATCTTTGTTCATACTTGTGGAGTCCGACATGCATAGTGAGGATCCGCAGGAAAAACAAATCACGGAGGAATAGCGTGGATACAGTCCCTGTCACGCTGGTATTTCAGCATAACCGTGCTCTGTTATTTTTAGATAAGAAAATTATAGACTTCGTTTTTACTTTTGAAGTCAGAATGAGGCATCTCTCACAAAGATAAGTGTTTAGGGCTAAGCCTGTCTCAGGGTTATCTAGTGGTCAGATGCTAACCAGGCGTTTCCATTAGTTTGGGTCTGTACATTCCTCCCACCAGCCACCATCATTTACAAAACACAGCACCATTAGAAGTGACTGACTTAATCCGATGGATGTTCTGTCAGCATTAGCACATGCTGATAGCATCTGAAGTCTTGGTACGAGACTAAGCCAAATAATGGAGATTCACTCTTAACCAATCTATTTGAACAGATTCTTTACAGCACTAGCAAATCTGTGATAAAAGGTTATATATAAACAATACAAAGGGGAAGTCAGGATTGCTGTGACACCATCCTGACTCTTACATCCTCTTCCAGATGTTAACAACTATCTGTTATAGCAGACAATATTTTATGCCATGTTTGGAAGTTTAAACTGATTAGAAGAGTTTAACTCAAAGCCCGGTAAATCTGTGGATGGGATGCTGTTGTTTTGCATCAAGTTCTTAGAGAATTTTGTGCGCTTAACCAGCAGGCAGAATTCACATTTTTTTCAGAATCTGTAAATTAGCAGGACAACAACTTTTATTACCTCTGTATCTTTCAGATAATCCTTCAGGCTGTTTGGGAAATCCCAATCCTCATTCTATGTTTAAACCTTTTATTTGCAGTAGTAAAGTCAGTGTTTTCACCAGAGTAGCTATCTTAAAACTGAAGGAAGAATAAATAAATACAGTAGTGTTCTTTATTTTAAGATTGCATAAAACCACAGAAATACTCCATTAAAAAGTCAGAAATAAGTTCACTCCCTCTAACTGCAGGAA